CCAAAGTACCGTTTGTTGACACATAAATCACTAATGTGCTCACTAATGTGCTCACCTCTGCCGTGAATCCAGAGAATTACCGGCACCGACGGGACTGAGCGCGGCGGGCGTTGACTTGACACGGGAGCAGTGCGGGTGTCCGGTCGGGACGGGAGAAAGAGGAGTGTCTGGGGTTAGCGTCTCGGCCGCACTGGTACTATCCAAAAATACCTCGTTAGCTCCAACAGCACCTGGCCCGGACATTACCAAAGAAGGTCCACCCGGACCGACCACCCCTGGGAAACTGGAGGATGAGCCACTACCGCTTGCGGCGAGGTCTGTCACCTGGGCGACCGGTCCTTGACTATCCAACGGCTGGGGCACAACAGCGGCACTGCAGTCTCTGTCCCTGGGTCGGGGCTCCTCAGCGGCTTTCTGGTCGGCATTTCCATCGCTAGGTTGACACTGGGGTCGTCCGTCGAGTGAGATATTACTGAGAAACAGCAGAGCAGCCTGTCTTCGCCGGGAGTCTTTCGCTTTCCTGCGCTGGTCTTGGTGAGTCTTTGCCGATTTACTGCCGGTGGACTGTAGACCGCAGAGAGCGGTCGCCATTCTAGTTTGAAATGTGGCAGTTGGACGAAAAGGCAAAGCGAAACCGGTAAGAGCATATTTGCCCCACCTCTCTATTTGCTGATTGGCTTTGAGGGTGATTATGCAAATTAAATCGTGTAAATACTGGTAGGGGATTGGATATAGTCACCAAAATATTCTAGTTTCTTGTACCTGGTTGGCTGTAATGTTATAGTGGGAAGGGCGCTAGTAACAAAGGAAATATTCAATAGCTTTTATATATGACAACTAATCAGTTATATCAATTATATCAATCAGAATATGCATAAATAATTTTTTCAGTCCAAGGGCATCAAGGTCTAAAAACTAATGAATTGATCTTCTTTTTTTTTTTTTTAAATGTGTTCAATGTAATCAAAGGTGGGTGAGTGTTTTTTCACATCAAAACATGGTAACAAATTTTTATTAATAATATTAAACGAAGGGCCTGATTAGAATTGCCAAATCCACCTAAAGGCTCCAGTTGCATTTAAATTAATTTAAATTTGGCTAGTTGTCTGATATGCAGCACTGCATAGGTCTCTGATGAAATACACTGCAGTTTAAATGAGTTAAAGAATTTTGCAGTCAGTTACCTCTATGTGTTTAGCATAGCGCTGCGTCTTACTGATTTGGGAGTTTTATTTGATTTTTACTATGTTGTTGGCTGGATTGAGAGATTCTATAGGCCATTTATGGACATGCGATTCCTAAAACATTCAGTCAAGCTGGTGTAATCTACAAATGTTGATAATGTACTTATTGACATTTATTTAGCAATTTTCCACTCTTATTGAGCATTCAAGCTCTATGAATGTTTTGGTGTTTTATCATAAAAGAAAGTCTGAAAATCAACAAGGAAGCAAACCTTTTTTCTAGATGTGTTATGTTCAAGCAGCAGTCTCTGGAGCTGAAAGAAGCCAATGCAACAGTGTCAAAAAACTGCAGTTCCTCTTGGGTTCAACTTGAGGCTGACTCCAAAAGTGAATCAGTCTCTAAAGACTGCCATCTTAAAATGTCCAACTTTATAGCATTAAAAAGCACGTTGACAGCCTTGCACAAAAACACTTTTGTTCTCTTTGGATGATTTTCCTATTGATAACAACCGCACACTTATTTATAAGTCATCCACTTGAATGCTAGTAAGGCCTAAAGTCCTGCTTTGATTGATAGGTGAACGAATGCCTCCCTTTGGGGGGTTTTTCAGGCACACCCAACTGGAAGGGATCCCAGGGTAAAGCCAGAACTCACTGGGGACATTACATATCTCATCTGGTCTGGTAATGACTCAAGATGTGTGGGTGAATGAATGATGACCCAGGTAACTGTAGCTGGGAGCTGTCGGCTAGGACTCACTTTTTAACTGGATCTCTCCTTTGTGTTTGAATTATTTAACAAACATTATGACTTCCTGTTTGTGCCGGACCATCTAAGAAGTTTGTGGTTCACTTTTGGTGAATAAAATTCAAGTATTTCATTATTCTTTTACTTAATTATTGACCCAATACAGGATTTTTAAAGACTGATACTGATACCAGTGCCGATATTTTCTGATTTAACATATCATATATCTGTCGATATTTTTCCATCTAGATTCACAAAAATAAACAGATTTTGCTAACACATGTTACGTGTAATTATTTATGAGTCCTTGCTAACCTAACCATTTTTTCATGCTTATCTAATTCAGGGTTGCAGGGGTGTCTATCCCAGCTGGATGACCCCTGGACAGGTTGACTGTCTGTTGCAGAGTTAATACAGAAAGACAATTCACCTAACCCCACTAACTGCAAGTTTTTTGGAGAAGGCTGGAGTACCCAGAGACAATGGGTGACATGGGGAAAACATGCAAAAGTCACAAAGAAAAGCCCCAGCCCGATAAGCCCCTTTTCCATTAGTACCTACTTGGATCGACTCGGCACAGATCGGTCATGTATCGCCACGGATCGCCACGACTCAACTCGGATCGACTGGTTTTTCATTACAATCCAGTACCACCTAGTGTGTGTGGTTGTCATCATAGTAATGCTGCAGAGCATCCTGTGTCATAATTATTATGCGACATGAATGCTAGAACAAAGGTGGACGTTGATGCAAGAATATGCCTGCAGCTCGAGCTGTGGTTTTCGTTAGACTCGGGGGACCATGACTTTGTTTTTTGTAGCATTTTTTCCCTTGTTCCCTCAAAAATGGCGATTTTGATTTTTTTGAGATCCTTTCAAGACTCATCGCTACTGACCAGCAAATCGGTGGCATGGAGTCTGATGATGTCACATTTTAGTACCTGCTCAGTATGCTTGGAACCCTAGCAAAGCAGGTACTAAACAGGCACCTGGTACCAGGTACTATGACTTAATTGAAAACCCTGAAAACTGTGGTGAACTGTGTTGAGTTGATCCGAGTAGATACTAATAAAAAGGGGGGCTATAGTGGAGACAAACCCCGTTGCTGTGGGGAAATTGTTCATTTTAACACTTCATTTAAAATTGGTAATAATTTTGTTTTATTGTCACAAGTCGTGGATTACTCATTTATGCTCTGCCCAGATCAGCTGTTTCTTGTGTTTGTGGTGTTCTAAACATATGGCACCAAGTTGCACAGTGCCCTCTGGTGGACAAACTATTGAACATTAACGCTTGTAACATGGTTGAAGGGTGTTTCTGCCATCTCTTCTTTACTTTTTAAATGTTAATTTATGATAGATCAGATATCAGTTGATCTTGTCATCACTTTAGCGCTCCTCCTCCTCATTTTGTTCACACCCCAAATAGCTTTCCTCAGGATGTCGTTGACAGCTGTGAAAAAATTCCTCTTCTTTGTATGGTTGCCTGTGATTTTACAGTTGTGACTCATTAGAAGAAATAAATGTTGAAGTGATATTTTCACACCATTGTTTTGCTTTTGAGAAAATTACAGCAGCACCTACTTAGCATTTGTGAACAAGTCAGTGGGAGCGTGAGACTGTAATTGTGAGATCAAAGACAGATCGGCTGCTTGTTATCTCATTGTACTGCAGCAATCACACTTAATGGGACGGTTAGCACAATATTTGCATTTTGGTTCCACACTTATAGTCTCGTAGTGAGTGTTTCTCCGAGACAGAAACTGAAGTGTGAAAGCTTTTCCATCTCCTGAGTGGGAGCAATCAATAGGTCCTTTCCTTCCTTCACCATTTAAGGGAATTACACTGCAAGCAGCGTGCCAAAGAGGGGGCAGATTGTGTTGTGCTGATGTTTGGAGATGTGGGTAGTACTGACAAGTTCAGTACTGATAATCCACTGATCCTCTGCAGAGATGGGATTAAGACTCAATCTAATCAGAACAATCTGTCGATCTGCCTCTGAAGTATCTATCTACAGCTGTGGTCAGAAGTTTGCATACATTTATCATGGGCATGAATTTTGTGGTAATTTGGGGCTTTTGCTGATTTCTTTAAAGTGATTTTTCTTCAGAGTGGAATGGTTGTACAGCTTACATCTATAATGACTTAAAAAAAAAAAAACAAGAATTGGGTGCACAGATTTTCTCTAATCCAAACAGGCTTAAAAGTAAACATACAGGTTCAATTTATGCACTCACCTCCACTAACATTTGATCAAATATCTCTTAGAAAGTTGCAAACCGATCAGTACTTTTTGTAACCTGCTTCTGCCTTAAGTCTGGATGGATAATTGACCTTTTTCCTTAGTAGAGTTCATTCAAACTACCGTGACATCGATGCCCATGACAAGTGTATGTAAACTTCTCACCACCAACTGTAAGACTGAAGTGTTAAATCAATGTAAAAAAAAAAAAGTCTTGAGTCTTGATAATATCAACCTCTATCAACATGCTGCAGGTTGAAACATGCACATGGATAGAATTTTATCTGTCATCATGTTTTAGTTGACTAAAATCAATGTTTGTTTGCCTACATCTGGCCTGTTGTTCCGACTCATTACAGTCATTCACCATTTATCTATGCAAAAAGATAGTAACAGATAGTCAGGTAAACACACTGCTCTTTATTTTAGC